CCTAATACTCCCACCGGTCTCATGCCACCAGATGCTTGTCAGACTGCTTACCAGGCCGGCGTCTCCATGGACCCCAACTCTTCTATCGGTCTCATGCCACGGGAGATGCACCACTCTAGTGATGGATATGCAAACGACTCAGGTGGCAATGCAGAACCTGAACCTCCGCCCAACGGATGCCACACTAATGTACATCCACAATATTTGGTTAGGCGTATACTACCCGTTGGAGGAAGCGGCTGAAAGAAATCTACTTCATGTTGACTACCCAAAGTAGGTATAATGTACAATTTTCCTGAACTTGCACACCGACTCTCTGTACAATATGCCCTTTCTCGCCGAGTTCAAGCTTGACTTTTCCCTGCCCATCAGATATTGTGTATCGTTCGCCTGCAATCGGTATCAGATCGCCAACATCGAAGTAGTACCGTAAATTTCTCGAGTCTCCGGTAATGCGAATGAGGATCTTTTTTTTATCCTTTGATGAAATGTCAGAACACATCACCAATATGGGAATAATGCACGTACTTTTTGAATGATAGGCTGGATAATGGGTCGAATGTCTTCGTGGGAGTACTCATGCGTACTGTTAGGCTTCAGGGTCCATCCTTCGGGGTGTTGCTCAGTGTAATTTAGCAAGTTGCGCAAGTACTCCTCCTCTCTCGCGTCAAGCTTGGAAATCTCAACTGATGGACTCATCAGGATGGTTTTAGCAGTGTTCTAACCTTCGCCGTGTCTCTTAGGCGGCAGAGGCATTTACGCTGCCCACGATCAGCAAATATATATATTTTGTTCAAGCTTGTTCGCGGGGCATTTGGTGAGGGGCACAATGCTGGCCTTAGGCGTGGAGCTCATGTGCTGCTCAATCACGTGACTAAACATGTTACCCCCTAGGTTCCATGCCTAAAAGAACTGGTCCAGAAACCCCACGCTGTCGCAACATTAACCTCTACGACTAACAATAATGCCTGCAATTGCACGACCCGAACTTTTTCTGGTATTCGGTCGTAGTCATACGTTCACCAAGACGTTTCCCAGCAGTTCTTGTGTCTTCTATGGTAAGTTACTGATTAAAATTATAAGTCGCTTGGAGATTCTTACCCTTGGTCGAAGACTATCATGACGCGATAACACTGCTAGGCGCCATTTCTCGGCCATCCTGCCGGGTTTGATGCATGTGATGGTGCCCAAAGTGGCACATCTCAAAAAGTGGACAACCCCGCGCCCGTCAAGCAAGTGCCTTCATAAGGCAGCGCAAGCGATAGACAACAGAGCAATGACATTCAACAAGAAGCCATTAGCGGCCTCGCCAGTACCAAAATCTTATCGTGCCTTAGCAACCATCGTCAGGTAAGTCCAGTTAATCCGCGTCTCTACCTATAACCTGAAATTCCTCATTCTCCATACTCCTAATACTAAACCGAGATGAATCTTCATTCACATCGCGATCGACCACAATAAACTTCGTTCCCTCTTCCTAATCAACAAGAGGATGCATAGACAGGCTCTCAGGATACGATGCTGGCGCGTCGCGCCAACTTTTGTCACCTGGTCTTTCTACGGGGACCAGCGGGAGCCCTGCTGTCGGTGGCGTATATCGCCCAAAACAAAGGAATGGAAGAATTGTTCAACGAGTAGCGACAACTACTCGGGCTGGATACTGTACAAAGCGCGCCAGGGCTTGTTCACTCTACGCAGCTCTACATGCGCTTGTTGATCCTCGAGTAATAGAAGTCAGCAATGCGCACGTACACCTTGTAGGATCTACCGAGGAATTTCCCTATTGCCGCCTCTGGGTCGGGGTCCTGTGAGATGTACTTGCCCGAAATTACCGTCTTACTCCCGCGTCGTCGTTGTTGCAGTTCTGAGGACAAGACATCGGCTAGGCTATGGGACCCTGATACACCGTGGCTCGACTGCCAAAATCCATTTCTTTTATGCTTTCCTCTGTTATATGAATGGATATGCGGAGATTCTGCGTCGCAGGATAAGCATGGCACACATCGACTACATTTGGGTACGTACGTATTGCCCGTTGAGCTTGCCTTCTGTGAGAGTCTCATTCAGCAACTTCTGCGCGGCGATGCCCACATCTAAAGTATGTCAGCAGATGAGTGTTGGTAAAAAGTATTTTCTCACCTCTTCGTTCCATTTGCCAGATAAGATGAACCCGGCGGACTGGAATTTCTTGACTGCGCTGATCCTGCGTCAGCTGCTTGAGATATGGCAAGTGAGCGGCAACCCCAGATTCAGTAGCCAGCATAACAATATTTTCGTATCGGTCGAGCGGAAGCGGCTTTCCATGAGGTCCACTGAGCCACGCTATGCTTGTTGTCGAGCCATGTTCTGAGAGCGTCAACAGGTCCTTAGTAAAGCCACGATGAGGCGCAATGAATAGGTCCAGATACTTCTGTGGTTTCTCGGACCAAGATGTAACTACAAAAGGGTGTGTCTGCGCAAAGGAGCACAGGCTCACGGACGGAACCTAAAGATTGATGTATTGTCCAGCCTTCACCTGGAGCGGGCGAGACAGATGCAGACGGATTTGGGCAGTGCCCTTGACAAATGATATCCGAGCCAGGGAAAGCCCTGAACTGTTGCGGTGAAGGACGCAGCCTAGCCAGATGATAGAGCTTGAAAATAATAGACCGCCGCCTATAATTACGTACAAGCTTGGGAAGAGTTGCTCGGATCTGATATGGCGCCAGAGAGCGTATGGAAAAGCAAGCGCCAATACCTGGTGCAGGCGCAAGGCTGCTTCGTATCGCACGTTTCTCAACACAAGGGGTATGAGCTGGGCCCCTAGAATTAAAATGGACTGCGGACCAGGGTCTTAGCATTTCTCCAAAGTTGGATGCGTCAACTTACCACCAGTGCGAATATGTCCTTTGGCGTTTGCAAATTAAGCTTTTCAGTGGTGATCCCACCTACAGCAGCGTGAAGCACCGCCAGCACAACAGCAAGAGTTCCTAAAGACGCGTGCAGGCGGCGACAGGAATGCAGTGAAACATTGAGCACATCTGCTAACGTGCTAAAGCATGGGCCCGCAAAACAAAATAGCAAATTTACCACTGAGAGCGTTCCGGTGCGAGTGACAACCTGATCTAATCCTGGGAGAGGAATTGCAACGCAGGCCCCCGTCGCCAAAACATAGGCAAGCAGCAACAAGCTGTCGGCACAGCTCCAACGTTCAATATAATTTCGCCGGTTTAGCACGGTCGGGTAGGTAAGGTAGCCAGAGAGGTATCTACCAGCAACAAGGAAGGGCGAGAGCACAAACTTCACTGTAGAGGGACAAAGTGCATGTACTAAGAGGTAAACAGGCCGACGAAGGACCAGCAGGCCAAGTAAAGCACCCAATGCAATAGATTAGAGGAGCGTAGACTCATACATTTCTTCTTAGTATTAATATTGACAAAAAAAAACAAAGTCGGCTTAGACGGACAGGGGAAGCACCATTTATATACTGATTGCCAGTGCGAGTGGCCACCACACACACACAAGGTTGTGTTACCAACACTACGCCCCGCTCGCCACGCCAACCAGGCACGACACCCTTCTTCTGGTGCGCCTTGAGCAGTGACTGACCACAATTCTCAGACAAATAGACAAAGGCAGGTGTTGCGGACTGCTTTGGGACCGCGACGCCCATGCTTTGCTTTCTTAGAGGTACGGGGCCAGCGCTGAGGAGTAGCTGCCTGTCGCAACACCCGATCCGCCACCAAAGGCAAAAACAGTAATACTACGTGAAATTATTACTTCTATTTAATTTCTTATTGATTAAACAGTTGTAAATAACTCGTCAGGACTGATCATCATTTCCATGTACGAGAGCTCATGCATACTCTCACTCACATCGCTTGTAACATTGATGTCGAAACCCAGCCCTTCTAACACAGCGTCCGAGCCGGGAGGAATAAATCTTTGCTCATTAGCAGGCGATAGCGGCATACATTCCATATCTTGGTCTATTTTATATCCGTAGTCACACATGCTTGAATCCATAAGTGAACTGAGCGGCTGTGCACTTGGAAGCCGTGCTGCGTCTTCTCCATCCACCGTAATGTGCACAGGGCTATCGACGAAAACGACCAGTTCCCGCAGTCCTCTTTGCCAGCGGGTGGCGATTTCCGCTTCAGACAAAGTCTCTAAAGGTATCTGCCACTTTGGCAAGGCTTTGTTATGCAAAAAACATGACAAAAGATCAGTGAGGACTGCGACATCATGTTTTAGATTTGGATGCCTCGCCGCGATGCTAGCGAACAGTGCAGCCTTATCCTCGATTTTCAGTCGTCGCGCGCTGCATATGTTAGCCTTTGTGGTCACCGCTGGAGAGAGTTAAACCCACTGTTCGTTCTGGAATTCTGCTGGTAGCAGCAGCAGCACGCCAGCACCTCCACAAGAGGTCGCCATCTGCTCCCAGAAATTATGCTGGTGCATAATGGCTTTCCATTTAGTCTGCAGTTTCTTTTTTGACAGGCCTTTCTTAACATTGTCCGGTAAATACTTTTTAGCAAATTTTTCGGCCACTGAAATTATGTGCTTTTCCTTGCTTTGCTTGGCAGCACGGTAGCGCTGTGCGATCAGTATACTCCAGTACCTTCCAGTGGCCGTCTCAAAACGCGGGCTGGGTTGTAGGCTGTGGTAATCGTCTTCCAGATTCTCGGAATGATTGCCAGCCTCATCTTCGCTCTGCGACCTCGGTTCCGGGTTTGCACGCCGTCGCTGCTGTGCATTATAATCGGTTCGGGCCCTCTCACGCTGTAAATCGTGCTGTAGCTCGGACAAGACATTCACGGAGCCTAACTCCAGGGGAAGTTTATCAGCAATGGCTACAGCGCGTTTGTAGGCGTTGTCAGGCTTTTGCTTGTCGCGCGTGGATTTTTGATACTAGGGGGCTCGTCGCCGCCGCTGGACTCATTAATAGCATCTACCGCCTCCAGGCCCAAGGGTTGTGCTGGTGGTGTGGGGAGGTTGCCGGGTTCTGTAGTCGGGAGAACACTGTAGATCAGCGGCACAGAGTCAGGGTACGCAGCAACGCACGCTGCCACCTCAGCTTGATTATGGGTTATGCCATGCATGAAAGCCTGGACAGCCTGTAAAGGTGAGTCAAGGTGCAGTGCGTAGGGCGAAAGTGAATGACGGACCTCCCTGATGCTACAGCGATGAACGGAGATGTCTTTAGCATTGGTAGACATAGATGGCGATGACGTGCTGCTGGTATTGGACGAGTCAGTCATTTCTGCAGCAATTACGAGGTCTGAAAGGAAAAGAAATCCATGTTGCGGGTGCGCGTACGGCGCGACCTCTTATAACAGATTGAACAGCCAGAAATGGCCATTTGAAGCTTGACAGGATTTACGAGAGCTGGCGGCAGAGTGGGTATTGTGTCTGCTGCAGCGGCGTTACCTGGAGATCCGCTTGCTCAGGCGCTTGCCCTGAGCTTGACGGGGTATTTGCAAAGTCGTGTCATAATCACTATGAGGTGCAGTATCGGTGTGCTTATGCACACTGTACTAAACACCCCGTAACCAGTTTTGACCTGTTGCATAACTATCAGTTATCAGTTTGGTTGCTCACTCAATAGACAGTGTGTGAAGACAGAACACCAAAACATACTGAACTTCACAGCGCAGCATCTGACGAATTTGTCAACAAGATGGTACATGAACCATAGAGGACTTCAAGCCAAATTGGCTCCAATATGTGTTTCATTCAAATGAATTCGAAAAGCCGACTATCTCTATCTTTGATGGAAGCCCTGACTTTTTCGAAATCATCGTTTCTTCGTGTCGATCGAGGAGAGGCTCATCGCCCGTCTGCTCAACATATTCTCGAATCGGCCAAATGGAGAAGAGAGGAGGGCTGGGCGTCTCGAGTGGCCAGCATCAATGGCAGGTTCACTTTGCCTTCATGTCCGTTGCAGTTACTTGCTGCACGGCTGGGAAACACATTTCCTATCCATCATCGTCAGTTGACCGCAACGACGAGTATATTTGCAGGGCGCCCGCACCAATTCGCCAGCTGTTAATGGCCATGCGTGGTCACTAGATTTGAACTCATAAATCTGGCCTTCTCGGCACAGCAAAATGTACACATCCGCATGATAGTCGCGGTGAGTCAGGTAGCCATTACTTACGAAAGTACGCCACCTCTTCTTGAAGTTTTCGTTGCTTCGATTCCGTTTCTTGGGCTGATCTTGGGTATACGGCATGGTCGATCCTACTCCCTGCTACAGCATGATGTTTTTGACTTGTTTATATAGACGGAGAACGGAGTTGGGGTGCCACGACCAGTGGAATAGTTTTGCGTGCAAAATCATGGCTCTACGAGCAGCAGCCCGCCCGTCATTTTGTTCTTCACCCTTTCGTCTTTCACCCCTGGCCCCTCATCGCACGAATCTGGTCTACGATCAAGGTGTCAAGATGACTACTGTAGCATCCTCTAACTAATTTTTTGTCTGAGAACGCGCTACGGTACTTGACCGGTGATGAGCGAGGCGAAACATTGACTCTGCTTTCCTGCAACGTCACTCGCAAGGTCTTGTTGACACAACCATACGCTGCTCCTCTGCTGACGCAGTCTAGGCACTACACTAGCGCCTGCAGCACTCGCTGGCCTCTATAAGCACGGCATCCCCCACCACCTTGTTCCTCTCCCCCCTCGTCCTTCAACATCAGTCCTCTCCACGGATTTGATCCACGATTCAGGTGCCAAGATGGCCAGAAACGTAACACGCATTGAGAATCTCATCAAAAAGTTGAACAAAGCAGACTTCTGCAAAGTTTTTGACTCATCCATACGCTCGCGGTTAGCCAACAATGCTGACACTACAGACATCGTAGTCTCGCTGCAGGAGACGATCGCGGAAGTCAGTGTCTCGACACCAGCAGCGACGCCAGCAGCGTCTCCTGCTGCCGACAGCGAGCAAGACCACGACGAAATAACAGGAGTACAGCGCATCAGCTCGACCAAGCTAGGTGGTGCCCCACAGGGCAGCCAACCCAATCGTAAGCGCTTTGAAGGAGCTGGCCATTCTGTCTCAGACGAGGAGGCGAATGGCGACGATAGCGGCTGTTGTCAAGGCCGTAGGAAACGACGAAAGCACGATGCAACATGTACCGACGGCAATAGTGTCAAGCTCAGTAAAGCAAACATGATCAAGCCGGATCCGCAGCAAGATCTTTACAATCTATGGGGCCTCTGCAAGTCTCTGCGACAGAGTCGTCGCGTAGAGGAGCTGATAAACTCAGAGCTATCTTGGACAGAACAACTACCAAAACTTTTTGACAACGCAGAGAAACACATTCATGATGCTAAAAGCAGATTAGCTCATAGCACTCTCGAGTGGCGACTCCTAGCTGTGGATGTGGCAAACTTGTATGTGCAAGAGAGACCCCACGAAGACGAACGGCGATCTGCATGGCGGGCCATGGGATATAAGGTTCACGGCACTCGTGATACAACGCTGGACTTGTTAACGGGACGAATTTTCGGTGCCGATGTCGACATGTGTAAGCTACGCGATAAGGATCCGAGGAGGAAAAGAGTCGAGGCTTGGCTGCGCATTGGTTGCCCGCTGTTGACATTCACAAACCACTTTGGGATTGCAGGCTTGATAGCGCCAGGAATGCGTATATCGCAGAATGCGTAAGTGTGCTTGTCATTTGCGTCGACAAACAGCTGACTTGTAGAAACGTGCAGTTTCAAGGCTCAACGTGCTGGGCAAATGGAGACTCCATTCGTCAGGTACCTCATTAACACCTTTGAGAGCTCCAAAGAGAAGCTTCACGTCTTTTCACAAGTCATGGACAACTGGGTAAGGTTTCATATGCCCCCTTACCCAGCCCTTATGATCGAAGGCCTCAGCGAGGCGGCAGTACGAACACAGCGTGATCTGTCACTCGACTTCTGGGGCCAGCCAGCCAGCGCGTCTGTCAGTGGTGTCACTGACGCTCATGACTTTGATGCATCCGACACCGTACCAGCAAGGATAGAATTCTGAAACCTGGGGAGCCGTGCCACTCCTGGCTGGCCCTTCGCTTTCTCTTCCTCGTCAACGTAATCGTCGTCAGTTTCGTAGTTCGTTGGGTTCTTTTCTCCCGCTCTTTGCATGTTTCCCGACGGACCTAGTCTCTCTGTCGAGCTTTTGCTATTTTAATAGAATTGACTGCTTTTTCAGTTTTATGTTCTAATGCTATGGTATCGTCAAGCGTGTCATTAGTCAGTGAGCTCAGTAACTGCTACGGGGAAAGCATTTGTTATCGCATTCCTAGAATGGGTTCTCTATGGCGTATGCCGTCAGCATTTGCTGAAATGCCCAGCATCGTGACTTTTTAACTAGGCAGAATACTTTGGCCCAGGAACTGGCCAAGGCCCCATAATTTGACTGGCAGCCCGAAAGCTAATTCGTCCATTTGACCGACCGTGTCGGCCAAATCACCACCAGCTAATGGCCCCTCAATCTGTTGCAAGCAGCAACGTAATCCTGTCAACGCAACTGAAGAAGTATCTTCCGCGGAAGGCCGAGTTCTGATTATGATAAATGATCATGTCAATCGCATCGACTCGGCAGTTTCGACCATGCCTTGTGGACAAAATGATTGAGTTTGCGCCGGCACGTCGAGAAATGCTTTAGGACTGCTCCGTGAAATATTATACATTCATTCATTGTTTTAAAGTTGTCACATTGAACATCTGCTCTCTAGAAACTCTCAGCTCGCTGCAATTCTAAGGTCGATTCACCCTTCCCATACCAGTGTTTCCCTAGTTTGACAAAAGCCACAGACACCGGTCTTGTCAATAAGACTGCAACGCAGATCACACACTGAAAAGCGTCATTATGGTCGACCCAGCCTAAATATTGACCGAAAAGTAGCATGGTGGCTACCATGGATGCCAAGACCGCTACTGCTGCTATGACGCCGAGTCCCCGACGGACAGAAGGTGTCGGCGATTTCAACTTTGCAGTGAAGCGGATTGCGAGCAGCGCAATACATAGGTGCGTCAGGATGGGTCCTGCCCATGCAAATTCAACATGCCGCTGAAGAAAAAGCCACACGGCAATGGCAGCAGAAATAACCTGTAGAAGCAAAGCAGTGCCCAGTGTCAAGTATCCTTCGGCATCACAGAATCCTCCTTCGCTTCTGATAAGGCCACCAATGATTTCATGAAACTAGCTAGACCCTGTCAGTCTCATTCATAAATGGTGGGAAGACGCTCACCTCCAAACTGTTGACGGCTAGGATTGATGATTCCTTCCAGGCAACGAAGCAGGGGAAAACCGTAGCCTCTGGCAGCAATCCCTTCCGAGCAAAACCAAAGGTGATTGCAAGCACAGCCCCTGCTAGCAAAAAGAAAGTGCAAACACCTAGCCCAGTCATCACTCTAGGCACGCCACCAGGGCCGTTTCTCGGCATGATGAAACAGCCATAGCAAACGTCGAAGAGTGCCACAGACGCAAGCACCGCGCCAGCCTCAATGATCTCAGCATTCGAAACTTGGCGACACATATTGAAAACGACTGCATGCGATAGACCCGTTCATGCAAAGAGCGGTGAAAGTCGTGGGAAGCCACCCCTTCATATGGATGCAAGCCTCTACAGCTAAGTAAGACTGGCTTAGAGCACGTATTATTGCGATTGTGCTGTGACAAGCTGAGCGGCGGCGCTAGTCCGAAAGAGCTCGGCGTTTTCTTGTCAAGAAA